TCTGCCGCCTATAGTCGAGCTTTATAATGCAGTCCTAGGGGCTTCTGTCGCAGCAAATGACTCGAAAAATCACTTAAAAACGGTTTTTGGGCGAATTTGAGAGCGAGTGCTGGCTAATTTAGAGAGCCGTCTCAAATTCGCCGGGCGTCGCTGAAGTAAACAAACTGAGAGGAATGTGAATCTATAATAGTTTGATTGACAACTCCTTATATGGGGTACATTTAATTTTATGAAATATCAGTCTCAAAAACAACCTAAAATCKAAAATAAATCGCGGACGTTTAAAGGGTTAAACAATGGAAACAAAGGAATGAGTATAATCGCCCAATCCGAAATTCAAAAAGGGAATGGTGACTAGTCAAAAACTCTATACCGTTTGTAGCAAAAAAAAACAGATACCAGGAAAAGAAAGCGGACACTAAAATTAGTGAAGTTGGTGAGGTTTAGCTTATTCGGATTAATAATTACAGAGTTGCAAGTGTATGGAAAAAATTACAAAGTATGTATGGAGCTCTTGAGCACCTACTAGCACTAGATAGTCTCAACTTGACAAGAACACTAATTTCACTAATTGTAGTATGGTCTTTCATGTTTTTTTTTCATGAATATTTTCACACTCGTTCCCAGTCTCCCACTGGAAAAAATCGCGCACTTATAAAGATTTACATCAAATTTACATCATTTCGGACACTTACATAATATACAACCTAACCTTGTGAGCGATTGTTTCCAGCGTACTTTTGAATTTTGGAATTACCAATTTAGTAGTTGTCATATGGAACTTATGGGGGACAAATAGTCCGTGATCACTCAAGCTTGACCTGATAGTCCGTATGAAGTGCCAAATTTGACGAAAAAAGGCCAGATTTCAAGGCTTTTTGAAGAAATGCGGCGACATTAAAAACAATCGTAAAAACCTAGCACCGGATTTAAGAAATAAAATCTATATGCGACCTTTCTGGGTATTTTTCATGAGAAAATTCGAAAATACAATCACGTATTTTTGCCCTTGAAGAGTTGAGGTTGAGCATTAAAATAGTATGGCGATCCATGTTTTCACCACAGTTCGCTCCAAAAAACTGGGCCTCGCGCATAACTTATTTTGTTAATAAAAAACCTAGCACCGGATTTAAGAAATAAAATGTATGTGTGACATTGCTGTGTATTTTTCGTGAGAAAATTTAAAAATCAAATTACGTATTTTCGCCTTTGAAGAGTTGGCGTTGCTTCGCATCCGTTTGCGTTTCGGGATTCCTGTCCCGACGATGAACGGATGCAAAGGAGACTACTTCTGTAGGCACAAGCAACAAAAATCAAACTTGAATTTTTCAAATTATTGCTTTCTTATTATATGTTGAAAATGTACTCAAAACTATGCAGTTTTGTGTTAATTCAATATTTGAAAAATTTATATCAGTCAGTGAACGTAACTGTGATATTATATGTACATGTACTTTCCTTTCTAGAGGTGACTTTGCTATTAATAGTATTTAATGGTCAGATGATGATGTTAATGAGGTCGATCGACGACAAAATATTAATTAACTCCATTGTATTATATTTCATGAAGTAAATAAATAAATTACATGCATATATACATGCATGCATGGATGCATGAGTGAGCCTGGACAATAATCCAAGCAAATGTCACCCGATGTATGGCAATAAGTTCCATATGATT